GGTGGGGTTTGAACCCACGACCTAAGCGATCCGTGCTGATGCTCTAACCAACTGAGCTGTCTACCAAGTCTCACAGCCACGGGAGTTAGTCTGTTTCTTAATAAATGTTTACATTTAATAAGCTTACATGTGCTAAAACTTAGTCAAAATATATAAAAAACAAATTAATGACAGTAACTTGACTGTATTATAAAGAACATTATCTGTCTAGGAAGAGATTGATAGATTTATGAAATGGAATAAAAGAGTTATACAATTTACCATTTATTTAAATAAAAAAATAAAATACAATACAAATTAAATTACATAACAGTACACAACAGCTTTGACATTACTGTTACTTTATATTAATTCTTTTGACCAAGAATTAATATAAAGTATTCATCTGGCTGCTCATCACTTAACCTATTTCTATGTTTTCTAATTACTAATGATGCTTTAGAAAATAATCTCTCAGCAGGTACTGAAGTTGCAGGTATTGAAAGAAAATCACGGGCCATCTTCGATAAAGTCGAATATTCTGTCTCATGTGTCCTCCACCACTCTAAAATGTCTTCCGAACTGGTGGCTCTGGGTTTACTTAGGTACTCCTGCAACTCGTCTATAACTAAGCCTTGATGAAAAGATCCAGATCCAGATGACGTCGAGGGATATGCATACAATTTCTCAAAGTCTATTACGTCTTCATCTTCATCATATTCACATACTTTCTTTTCATTTCTTGGTGATTCTAGAGATGTATTCACTGAGTGTAGACTTTTATACTCTTTATAAAGTTCATTAAATTTGCGCAGGCTTTCTGTTTTAATTTGCTTCCCCCATAATGTCATGTCAAAAGTCTGAGTCTTATGCCTTGGGTCTAAAATTAAAGAGGTACAATAAATCCAGTTGCTCTTTTTATAATGTTTAAGCATTTTGTCTCGAGCTGCTTGAAAACCCAGAATGAGCCTTTCATCCACTTCGGATCGATTAGGTTTCTCATCTAATTGTTTTACCATGGATTCAATTTTATTCGAGCAAGAGATTGAATGATACAATGGCTAGCGGTAATGTAACATATTTTTCTCCACCAAGTTTCGTTGATAGAAGTTTAAAGTTTATTAGAAACTTATGTATTTTTTCGAGTATTTGCCATTAACTATCTGTGATTTGAAAATCATTCAATTCGGTGACAGAAGTGCACAATATGTTAATGCCAGTTCTCACTTTTAAACCAAATCCAATCATATCATGTGTGGAATTTCATCTCGTTGGACAGTCGAGTATGGGGTTCAGATTTGATGGCACGCCAGCTGCTTCACAAGCAGACTGAAACTTCCTCTTCAATATCTCATTTCTTTTTATTTTACTAGAAATACTGCGTAATTTTGTTATAGTTGTACGTGAGTCAGCAATATTTGGCGCATATTCTTCATCTTCCTCAGTTTCGTCTTCATTATCTTCATACTGCTGTTCTTGTCCCTTATTGTCAGTTTCACTGTGTTGAAAATGTGAGCAAAGCACCGGAAATGTTGATTGTCTGAATCAAAGTGTGGCAGCTGTTTGTCCAATTCATATATAAATTTGGTATTTGCAGGTCGTGGGCGCTGTTTGCTGTTGCGTTGTCGACCGTGATACCCTGTATTTTATTAAATGTCATATTCCAATAAACGTTCGTGGAAAATCGTTGCAGTATCTTCCCCAGTATGTCGACCGCGTGATGGTATAAAATCAAGGACTACAGATCGATACTTCCATTCGTTGTCTATATAATGAATAGTGACCCCGTAGTAACTCCTACCAGCAATTGACGTCCATCCATCAATGGTAAATGACATTTTAGATGAAAATTGTTGTAGTCGTTTCTTAAGATTCAATTGAAGCTCTTCAAACCGTTCTTTGACCTTCCTTCTAAGTGTGGACCTTTTAGGAAACACCATATTTGGGCAAATTGATCGAAAATATACTTGTGTAGCTTCGTCATCGAAAAATGAGAAGGGAAGATATTTTTTAACCATCCAATCAACTGTAGCTGTCGTGATGTTGTCACTGCTATTTTCAGACTGAAATAAAAGAGTAAATCATGTGTCTCGCCGATTATAAAAACAAATGAAAATATGAGCGAATTATAAATACATATTTAACACTATAATATATATATATATATAACTACCACTCACTGACTGACTATAACGATATCTCAGGAACTATAAAACATACAAACTTGAAGTTTGTAAGGTAGGTTCCTTTTATGGCATGGAGATCAGTTAAGAAACGGTTTTGAGAAAATCTATCCCTAAGGGAGTGAAATGGGAATTGGAAGTTTGTATCATAAAATCCTGAATAAGCTGTTTTACGAAATCCTAACCCTAAGGGGGTCAAATTGGGGTAAAATGGTTACATGCAAGTCCTATATTTTTAAAGTATAGATATGAAGATCGACATTTACTTTATTAGTTTTAAATAATAAATACTTGCATAGTTAAGCTTTACCTATATAACCTCTTTATACTTAGGTAAGACTTTTGCAGCGAGAAAATTTCAAAATCTCATAGGAAATCAGATATTGTACGCGGACGAAGTCGCAGGCGGCCGCTAGTTACATAATATATGTGTTATGTAATTGTGTGATAAGTATATTTTTTCTTACCTGTCCACTTTTTCCGGTGGTTATTAAAAAGCTTGCGATATCTCCACTTAATTTTGGTTTTTCAGGAAGAAATATTTGTGATTCCTTTTTGTGGAAAGATATTAGATGCTTCCTATAATAATAAAAATGAAAAACAGAATCACACTTCAGGCTTAACCTGAAGTGTTTCTGTTTTTCATTTTTATTTCAACCTTTTTATGTTGGCATAATTTACACTGTCAACAATTTCTGATTCTATTGAGAAGAATCATGGAAGAAAGTAAGAAACTCAGTTGTTGCTCTTTTCAAAATATTTTTACAATAGTTCTATAATTATGTAAAGCGATAAGTCAAACATAAAATGTCAAATGTATATGTAGATACCAAATCGGTTTAGAATTTCTAGTTAGTCCTGTGTAGTAGGAGGTCAGTTCCAAGCATTTTTGTCTGACTTAAATTGAAAAAGTGAAAGATCTAACATTTCTTTTGGAATCTTATTATAAAAGCGTATATCGCTACCCAAGAACGCATTATATATTTTGTGTAACCGGAAAGCAGGTATTGTGATTTTATTTTTATTTCTAGTATTAAAATTGTGCAAATCACTATTATTTACATCAATTCGATGCAATCAATTTCTTTAATCGGTTCTCTAAGAGATACTCGGGCTCCTAAAAAGTACATAGATCTTATTTATTTAATATGCACACTTTTTATATTATTCGATTAGCATTGTACAAAATGTTTACACGTTTCAAGTGTGTTAAAAGTGTCTACAATATTTATCAAATGGGTGACGACATATTCGAACACTTTGTGTTCAAAAACACACACTTCCAAAAATCGAGATTTGCAGTGAACTTATTGAACATGTTTATCTATTAGGTAATAATAATAATAGTAAGTAATTATTATAAACCCATATAGTTAATATTATAATAATTACTTACTAGAATAAATTATTATGGTATCTACCTATCCCTACCATTATCTAATTACAATATTCCTTGCGAGATCAGCATAATGTATTCGTGTTCATTCTGAGCACCCGGAAACTTATTTTATTTTTTGGAACATGTACTCTGTGGCGGCATTCAAACAGTGTCAAATGTAGTGCGTGCGACGCGGCGGCGACTCGATTGCGGGTCGATTGAATACGATATCAATAGAAGCCGCCGGCGCGTGTATCTTGACTTCCGAAATGACTTCCGAACAGCTGCAAAATTTCTTTGACAGGTCAGTATTCGACCTTTGATGATGCCGACAACAAGACGCCGCGCACTATCAAAGTGCCGATGGTCAAAACTAGGGATGCACTGTTTTTTCTTTTAATAGATATTTTCATCCGCTATGTATGTTTATGTTATTGTTCGTAATGCGCATTAGTCCAATTTTCCAAATTTTTTTATATATTTTTTGCGTCTCATAGAGTCCCTAAGCGTATACCCGAACTTCTATACTCCCTGAAACGACACTCATTCCTAACTGCAAGACGCAAGAGTCTCGCAGGCTTAGTCTTGTTCTTGCTTAAATCTTGCACGGTCAGTCTTGGTCTTGGTCTTGCTAAAATTAGGCGGTCTTGTTCTTGGTCTTGGTCTTGCAAAAATGCAAGAACAAGACTAAGACTGCAAGACCAAGACCGATTTTGAGCAACACTAGTACTTACTCACTCCGTATTTGTGACAACCCTCAAAATTCTTTTGAGCATATCAACAACTTTTTCGCTAATATTGGGAAAAACCTAGCAAATAAATTAGTTAGTGTACGTGTACAGGTGAGCAAAGAACGGCATCGAACTTGAATGCATCTTCTCCTGCAAATTCCATGACCATGCTTGAAGCTACCTGTGAAGAAATTAAAGCCATTATTATAGGGCTTAAAATGACAGCGCTACTGGTTGGCATCAATATGGTTTTAGAGCTGGCAAGTGTACTTCCGATGCAGTTACTGGATTGACAGATTATCTTGCTCAGCAAATCGATAAGAAAAATAAATGTATAGGTGTATTCTTAAATCTTGCAAAGGTATTCGATACAGTCTTTGCACCCACACTTCTAGACAAAATGCATAAAATAGGTTTAAGCGGGAAACCATTATGACTGTTTGAAAGTTATATTTCTCACAGAAGACAAAGGGTAATTTTAATTTTCCCACCATTTTAAGTGACTATTTAGTGCATCAACCCTTATAAAATAACAGTGCAGTTTCAATTTTTTTCGAACAAGTTTTTACGTAAATTTAATTTTTTTAAATTCTTTCAATTCTTATGATTCTCTTAATTTCTTGTTGTATATTGTCTCTGTACATTAAAAAGACTTTTTCATTTTTTTTAAATAATTTATTATTTTCGTGCTACCAACTTTTTACATTATATTATGTGTGTTGAGTGAAAATGGCGTCGTCACAGGGCGAATCCCTCCCCTTCCCGGCTTCGGCCGAGGAGGTTAAAGACATAGAAAGTTTTTACATGGTGATAAGCAAACTTGCCTCCTGCATTAGTACCGCGGTAAATGAAGGGAAGAGAGTGACCGCGGCTAATACGCGACTTATTAGCCAAGCTGCTGAAGAAATTATAACTGCTACACGAGCCCTCCTTTCCATCAAGTCCACCAGCACACCAACATCAAACAGCTTGTTAAAGGCTGAGATCCTCGCATGTGTGAGGGAGGAGATGGCCAGTGTTAAAAAACTTGTCTCAGCCAATAAGTCCTCTTACGCATATGCAGCAGTAACGTCTCACGGGGCTCCAGCACCAGCTGGGCCAACCGCCCCCCCGCAGCTCTCCATCAGCGACTAATCCCGCGATCATAGTTATCCCAACCATCGAGGTTAAGACATCCCTGGAGGCTGTGGAATTATTTAAGAAAAATATTAATTACCGCAATGTCAATTACACACCGGCTCGTATTCGGCCTGTGTTTAACAATAACCTGCGTATCGAGTGTGACACGGAGACCCAGCGCAATGATACCCTCACGAGGCTCGAGGGAAAAACTGAAGTTAAGGCTGAACCCGTACGGAAACTTAGACCCATGGTCTTAGAGGGCATCTCAAAGGATGTTCAAGCAGATGATCTTACAAAAATTATTAGACAGCAAAATGAGGAAATTAGCGAAATTATCAATGATGATGGTGAGAGCCTCAAGGTAAGATTCAAACAGGACAATAGGAATAATAACATCTATAAGGTGGTTCTTCTAGTTGATCCTAAGGTATACAACAAAATGTTAACAATCGGTCGCATTAGCATCGATTATCAGCTCGTCCATGTTGCTAGTTTCTCGTCGTTCCTCCAGTGCCACAGGTGCCTGCAGTTCGGCCATACAAAACTAAGGTGCACTGCGGACCAAAGCTCCTGCTCACATTGTACGAGCACGGAGCACGATGTGAGCAAATGTCCTACCAAAGATAAGCCCAACAGCACAAAATGCATAAACTGCCACACACACAATACGCGTTTCAACACTAAACTGGACACTAAACACACGGCTAACTCCAAAACCTGCCCACGTTTGCGAGCCATGAGGGAGAAGATAAATAGTCGTGTCGACTGTGGATACACACAAAAAATTAAAAAATTTATAGTGCAACCTCGACAGATGTAAGAATGCGCAACGTGAGACTTCTCTCCTTTATGACCGGTGATTATGACATTGCCCTCATCTCCGAACCATATATTGGTTCTGCAGAACAGGTAAAATCAACCAAATGAATAGACACATATAAATTTTTCACGGGCAACAAGAATAAGGCCTGCATCCTGGCAAAACCAGCATGCGGGTCGATCTTGGGGCTATCGCAATATTCTACATCCAACTTCTGCGCAATAAAAATTACGTTTGGCGATCGCAATATTTATATTGCGTCCATATATGTGGAGACAATATTGTCGAATCAGATACGCTCGATAAGCTTGGCATCTTTCTTAAAAACACAGGCGATTCTCATAAGATAGTGTGGGGCGATCTCAGTGGGTGGCACCCGATTTGGGGAAGGGTAAAATCAAACTCAAGGGGCAACGAAATTATAGATATAATACACAGCAATGATATGTGTGTATGCAACGTTAGTAACATCCCCACGTTTGAAACGGTCACCCACGGGCGAGATCGCTCTTCAATAATCGATCTCACATTTGCTTCCCGCTCTATTATCGGTAAAATCTTGGAGTGGCGTGTCAACTTGAACATTTCCCCAACTTCCCCGCATAATGCAATAGACTATTGCATCGACTTCAACTTATTTTCACTGTTGGAAAAGCTTTTTATTAAAAGGGTCGTATACTTACCACGCGCAGCGAAAATCGACTAAACAAATTTCAGTTCGGTTTCCGGGAACAGACAAATACGTGCGAAGGCATTAAAACAGCTCTTAAAATAATTAAATTAGCCAAATCAGAAAAACACCTCAGCATCGCGATATCTCTGGATATTAAAGCAGCCTTCGACAACGCTTGGTGACCTGCACTCTTTCACCGGTTGCGGCATATCCAATGCCCTAATAACATCTTTGGACTCGTCCAGGATTATGTCCGCGATCGGGAGGCCATCCTCGACGCGTGCGAGTTACCAATACGCTGTCTAAGGGCTGCATACAAGAATCCACGTGTGGCCCTGTTCTCTGGAATATCATACTGGACGAGCTGCTCGACGCGAAGCTTCCAGCGGGCTGCCACACACAGGCCTTTGCGGATGATGTCTTGCTGGTTGTCACGGCCGCGAGTGTCGGAGAGCTGGAGCTGGCCTTCGGTCCCATTAAGACTAAGCTCATCGCCTTCACTCCCAAGGCTAAGGTAGCCAGCATTAACATGGACGAACACCGTCTTTCCTTTGTGCCAGAGGTTAAACTGTTGGGAGTCATCTTGCACGAAAAACTAAACTTTGGGAAACACGTGAAACATGTTATTAACAAGGCCGTGCGGATCTTCAACAAGCTCTGCATGTACTCGAGATACACATGGGGAGCCCATCCTGAGAACATCAGCACCATTTACTAGCAAGTGATCGTGCCAATGATCACTTACGCTGCTGGAATTTGGGGACACGTTGCCCAGAAGAGGTAGGGGGCGCTCGGGAGCATGCAGCGTGAATTTGCCATCAAGGCTATTAGGGGATTCCGCACGGTATCTTCATCTGCGGCCCTCGCGTTAGCCCAATTTGAACTCCTGCATCCTGACAAACGTTTTATATTCACTGACGGCAGTAAGCAGGAAGACGGTGCAGTGGAAGCTGCTGTCGTGGGCTATCTGCCTACTAATCTTAATCAAGTGGCTTACATAAAAAGTTCAAATTGCATAACACGTGTACAGTATTCCTAGCGGAGCTATTTGCTATTCTGCAGGCATGCAGGTGGATCAAAGGACACAAATATACACACACAGTAATCTATACAGATTCACCCTCATCTATACACGCTGTACAAAACAGAAGCAACACACACCCCATCATTACACAAATACACAAAATTATACACGAGTACCGAGAAACAGGCATCATAGAATTGGGATGGGTCAGGAGTCATTCTGGCATATGGCAATGAGGCATGAGGCAGCTGGTAAGGCTGCGAATGCTGGCTCCCAAGTTGCGCAAACAAGCTGACTACTTGGCCTTTCCGATTTCGTACCTCAAACACACAATCAGAACTCAAAATCGTGCGACCTTACAAGCTAGGTATTATAGCGCAGAACAGGGCCAACATACCAAACGACTGCTTCCAACACTAGAGAATATCGAGAGTTACGCACCCTCACCAAACCCAGTTTTTACCTCACCCACGTGCGCTCAAACCACGGTTTTCACAAAGCTTATCTTTGCCGCTGCAAAATAATTGACAATAATCATTGCCCTCGTGATAACGTCACCACACAAACGCTGGAACATCTCATTGAGCATTGCCCTGCATTTTCAGTGCAATGATTAAATCATGTCCATACTATGTGAAAATTTAAGAATTCATCCATTTAACTTAACTGCATTAATGAAGTAGGAATTAGTGATGCAACAGAACTCTGTTTCTGTTTCCGCAACTGCGGAAGTTCTGCATGGTTTTTGAGATCCGTTTCTGCTTCTGTTTCCGCAAGTGTTATAACGGAAGTTTAAACGGAACTCAGTGACGCAGCCACATAAGTAGAGGAGGGGTGGAGGAGGGGGGGGGATCATTTCAGCCAATCACAAGTGAGCTGGGCACGTTCTTTCGGCACTGGTACCAACGGGTTTGTTTACATATTTTTTTTACTTTATTATGCGACGTGACATAAGTGTAAGTGCGTAAGATTTTCTGTTATACTTAATATTTTTAGTTAATTAGTAATTTGAGTCGTGTGTGTAATTTAAGTGCAATCATGAAGACAAAAAAGAGACCAGTTTGGATGTTGAGATTGATGATTTATAGGCATGGGCGTTTTTTAATTTGAACGCAAACCGATATTTATCCGATTTCAGATTTCAAATTCGATTTCAAAGTCCGTTTTTAAAAATCCGATTTCAGTATCGCTTAGCCACGCCAATTCGTTTGCGTACTTAGATTTCGGTTTATAAGTTAAAAAAACGACAAACGCAAGTCTAATACAGAAACAGATTTGGGAGATTATCCAACATGCTTTAATCTAGGCTTAGGACTAGCAGAAAAATTTTGTATGAAATTAGAACTTTTTCGGCGCATTTAATAATCGGTATATTTACAATGATTTCCTATTATATTTTTTGGTTTCTTTTCGCTTTTTTATTTTTTTTAATTTTTTATTTCAGAATCTGTGGATTTGCGTTTAAAAACGTAATTTGCTCCACTTTTGACGACTTTAGACGACACCTCTTTTCATTTATTATTAATCCCGTCTTTGAAAAAATTCGTTCGCACGGAACGGATGTCGCGACAATAGCGCATTTTGAGCGATATATTTCCGACAAATGCGGATAAATTATTTTATGATCAATAATTTACTCACTTAAAACGTACACAATTCACTCCTGATTTTTAAACATTTTTATAAACTTTTTTCATATACTTACTAAACAAAAAGGTATTAAGGCAATAAATTAATATCAGTAAATAATATAATACATACAATACACTGTTACGTCTGACAGGCAACAGGCATGCGAGCAGTTGTCACCAGGACGTCTAAAGTCTAAAACATAACAACATGAAAACAAAAAGATATTTTAAATAAGCAAACACTTAACTAAAAACAAAAATAAATCATCACACAATCTCGCAAATATAGTCTTAAACGACTTAACAATAAGAATGATATTGATCGCACACTGAACCAAAAAATTCAGCAACGCTTATTCTCGCAAAGTCAATATAAACTTTACGTACTAAGCAGTAAGGATAATATTGATCCCATATCTCAATGTGTAATAGATTTCGATATTCCATAGCCGACAAACCGAAATCTGAATCTTAAACTTCATGTCATCGAGGGAGACACTGAAAAAACGGATTTGGATTTCTACGCAACAGTTTGCGTTTAGATTTGGATACTGTCGATTTTATTTTCGATTTGGATTGGTTTGGTTGTACAGATCATAAGAGTTTAGCTAGTTAGGTCGATTTTTGAAATCGGATTTTCTAGTTTGAGCAATCTATACGAATCGATTTGTGTTTGAAATCGGATTTTGGATTCGTTTTGATATATCCGACTCATGCCTAATGATTTAGCAGTCAGATGTAAATTATGTGACAAAATATACTCGCGAAAAGAACGCACAACTACCGCTTTAAAGAGCCATCTTAAAGCGATACACACCGAAGAGTTTCCAGTTTGAAAAATGAGTTGAAACTGTAAAACTTTCATTGCAAACTAAAAAAACAAATGGTCAGTCATGGTTTTTCAATTAGTCAATTGCATACCTATTTATTTATAAAATGTATTCTCATGTTATAGCTAAACCCCGTTTTTAGTTAAAACGTGTTCTCTCCAGTTAAAACTAGTTTTTACTAAATGCCCTTGTTACAACGAAAATTTGTAAATTTTTTTTTTTATAAAAAGAGGGGGCAAACGAGCATGTGGCTCACCTGATGTTAAGTGACTACCACCGCCCATGATCAACCGCAACACCAGGGGAATTGCAGGTGCGTTGCCGGCCCTTTAGAAAGGAGTAAGCTCTTTTCTTGAAGGTCCCCAGGTCGTATCGGTCCGGAAAAATCACCGGTGGTAAATTATTCCACAAAGAGGTTGTACGCGGAAGAAAACTCCTTTTGAAACGTACAGTGGTGGACCGCCAAGCATCCAGATGGTGTGGATGGTATCGGGACGTTTGCCGTGTAGTGCGTTCACGAAATTTGGCGGCTGGGATTAATCCGTATAATTCCTCAGAGCACTCCCCGTGATAGATGCGATAAAATACGCAAAGAGATGCAACATCTCTTCGCAGCGCCAGTGAATCGAGTCGATCGGAAAGCACTCGGTCGTCGATGATTCGACCCGCTGTGCGCTGGATGCAGTCAATTGGAAGGAGCTGGTACTAGGGAGCCCCAGCCCAGAGATGGGAACAGTATTCCATGAGCGGCCGAACCTGCGCCTTGTAAAGTTGCAGGCGGTGTGCCGGCATGAAATACTGTCCCGCTCTGCTGAGCACGCCAAGCTTTTAGGCAGCAGTTATGTTAACGTAAAGTTTATATTGATTATTTTTAATGTGAAGTTTATATTATTGATTTTTTACTTGGTAGTTTATATTTATTATTTTTAAAGACACTTTAATGAGTATTTTGGATTCAAAGTTCGTTTACGTCGTGATTTCGTGCTAGGGTTGTACTAAGTTACCTACTCGCTTAACGTAAATGCTGCTCTTTAAAGGATCTACCCATATTTTAGTGCCAATTTAGCTTTGGTGTATACGCAGCATTGCCAGTGAGCAATTATTTAGCGGCTCTGGACGGATAGCGGATATGAAGAACACTGGAACAGATTGTTAGGTGTAAAAGCAGCCGAACTACTTTTCATAAAATGCCGCTACTTAATTTTGAGTGTTAAAGGTTTTATTTGCAATTTTTTAATAAGTAGTATTTCCGTTTCCGCATCCGTTTCTGTTTCCGTTTCTGCAAAAAATATTTTTAACATCTGTTTCCGTTTCTGCTTCCGATATGACACTTCCGTCGCATCACTAGTAAGAATCCCTTTCGGACTCCTTCATTCAATTTGTTTATAACATTTTTAAAAGACCAATAAGAACTCTGCATCTGTAAATAGCAATAGTAATAGTTAGTAACCAAGCAATCACTTCTCTTTAATTTGTTTTCTTTATTTATTCTATTAGTTATAATTAATAATATGTTGTAATTGTTAAGCGTTTGACTATCATTAGAATTGAGAAAACCTTTGAGCTTTAAATATTTTTATGTTCACTGTTATTATTCTTTGGGTTTATTATTTTATTCTTTGGGTTTTTTAAATAAGATCATTCGCTGTTTGTTACATTATTTTGGTTATTTTATGTAATTATACCACTTAGTTTGTTTTGGAACAAAGATTTCCCATATTTTTAGATTGTTTTTCTTCTTAAAATTGTCTCAACCCTATTGTGTTCACCATTTTTATTCGTATGCCTAGAATTAAGATTGTTTATTTCACTTCATTTCATTGTCATTATATTATTTTATTATTCCACTGTTATTATATGTCTAGAATTAATTGATTTGATTTGATTACCCTATTGGTTTGTTTCCTCCTTTTTTTTGCTGTCTTTATACAACGTTGTCTGTGTTTAGAATTAATATTACTCTACTTTGACTTTACTTTATTTTTATTATTAGGTTGTTTTATTATATTATTGTCATTATACTATTGTCATTATATTATAGTCTTTGCTTAGAGTCAAGATTACTCTTTGTTTCTAGCATTTAATTCATTTTATTCTTTCCTTTTGTACTGTCATCACTTTTATTTTTCTTCTCTGATGTGGCGTTTGGTATGCAGGAGACTATGAAAACACAAGAATATTTATGTTAACCAAATGATAATTTTACTAGAATAATAACTATTCAAATTCTTAA